CGTGCACCCATCTCTACACCCCCGGCTCAGCAGTCCCACCACCTCCTAACAGCAAAGGACAACAGAAAAGAACAGAAAATAAGGGTCTGATCACCTTCCCCCCCCACCCGGGGAAGCCCACACACCTTTTTCCCCCTCTGGGGAACTCACCAGGTCCGGACGACAGCTGTAGGAGGTGTCTGCGACCCCGAGGCGATCCTCTGCATGCTGAGGGTTGCTGCCTCGATCCCCGGGAGCGCCACCCAACAAAAATGGGTCTGCTTCCCACCGGGGTAGCTGCCGCCCAAAAGTCTTTGATAATCCACAATCCAATAGACTCCTCCGGGGGTCTTCAATCCACAGGAGAGAGGCCCCACGTTGGGCGCCAGCTGACGCTGCGCTCTACACCTTTCCAAGCCTCGGGCTAGCCCTGGACAACTCGGCTAATGGCAGCGCCAAGAGTGGGGAACGACACAGGAACGACAGTCCACGTGCCGAACCTCCAGAGCTCCCTGCACTCGGGCTCTGTAGATCCCAGGCGTCGCGGGTTTCAGTAAAGGGATGGAGGAGGCTCAGAGTCTCTTTGTCTTCCCAGGAACAGGTTTTATTGAAGGGTAAAGGGAGCAATGACAAGGGAAAGGACTGGGATGGTAAGAAAGGAGAGCAACTGAGCCCCGAATAGATCTGTGCTTCCAAATTTAAAGTGGGGAGGGTACAAACTGAAAACCAATCAGGACACAACCTGGGAGGAGACGAAGGAGGGGTTTACAACACCTGGGACCAATGAGAGGAAAACATGGGTGGGACGGTGGTGACAACACCAATGGGGCCTCGAGTAGGGGATGAAGGGCATGGAAAATGCTGGAACAAAGGGCAGGATTAACAATGACAAGGGCTAGGGGCAGGCTGAGGGTGATAAGCAGGGAAGATTCAGGAACAACGGGAGGGGTTTACTAAATTGACAACTGGGCAAAACCTCTATCTGACAGTAACAGGGGGATAACAGGAACATACCATCAAATCAAACAGAATTAACAAACAGAATGCAACACCTGGACCCCTTCTAGGCGAGGATAATAAACTCTCTAGGAACACCATTCAGAGAACACCTCCTAACAGTCTTTCTCATTGACCTGCATATGATATACCAGTGCGTAAGTACTCGGTGCTCAGAGCTGTCTCTTCCCAGTGGAGACACAAGGCTCTTGGGAAGACAGCGGCCTTGGCAGATCCTGCCATGCTACCACAGCTTTTGCCCGAATAGGGACCTCTTCATGAGTGCCCTGAGAGCATCTCCCTTTGTGAACCCGAAGTTGCCTTGGATACCCAACTCCCAGAAGGGACAACCTTGATTTTCTGAGGGTGTTCCTGAAGGGCCAGCCGGCAACCCTCAAGTGCAGTTCTTCGGAGGTTTGGCCAGAGTCAGCAAATCTCCCTTGAGATCCTTTTCCTTTGACCTGTTGGTTTTGGTGAGTGTTGTGTAGGGCACCAGGGGAAGGTGCTGCCACAGGTAATTTTCAGTATCTGTTTTTGTTTATGTTATGGGGAAAGGTTAAAAACCGAGATGGGATCTCAGTTATTCGTTTTGGAATGGGAGGTTTATGTCCAAGTTAAGGGAGCCCCTGTTAGTGGAGATGTTAAGTTTTTGAAGGGG